TGGCAAGTTGTATGTCTTGGGCATGGAAGGCAGCCTGAGGGTGTTTGATTTTGAAGGGCGAACCTGGAAATTTCACGAGGTTTCAGGTCTACCCCCCGAGCTTGGCAGGGCGTATGATAGCTACTTGATGCAATGCAAAGGGAAGTTAATGGCAGTGTATATGTCTTACATGGGGAAACACATTTGTGTTCTTGAATTGAACGAGAGGGACAAAATGGAATTGGTTAAAGTGGAGTGTTTGGGGGATTACATGTTGTTTCTTAGCGAACATTCGTCATTTGCGGCCAAGAAAGTTATAGAGGGGATGGAGAATAAGATTTACTTCCCGAGATTCCACAAACAATACATTGTGTTCTATTGTCTTGAGACGGGTTTGTTCAAGACATTCGGTAGCAACTTTCTTTGTCAATGTTAGGCCCCCACTCCAAACAAATGGAAAGAAAAAGAAAAACAAGAGCACACAATTTTTAACGTGGTTCGGCACCTCAAGACCTACTCCACGACCCCCTCTGGGATAAAATCTCACTAGTAATTTTTGCACGGAAAAATTACAAACCCTCTCTAATATTTGACACTCACAACCTAAAATCTAATACACAATTATATAGATTGAAGGATTGTGTTGTGTAATGGAAGCCTATATCTCCTCTTTATTTATAGGCTCCAATACCTCCTCAATTTTCTTATCCCACCGATGTGAGACTTTGAAGTAACACTCAACAGTCAACCCCTTCACCAATGAGAGAGTGGACTTGCCCGACAGACCTGAGGACACATGTATAAGCGGATTGGACATAAGTATAAGTGTAATCTTCTTGTCCCAACCAACCTCTCCCGATTGTGTTGTTTTCGGGGTTGATTGTGATGATTGGAATCGTATTTTGACCATCACTCGCAAAAAAGAGACTTGGGAGGATTTCTCTTACGTAGAACAACAAACCTCAAGATTTATATCCCAATGCTCTCCAATTCTCCACAATGGCAAGTTGTATGTCTTGGGCATGGAAGGCAGCCTGAGGGTGTTTGATTTTGAAGGGCGAACCTGGAAAGCTCACGAGGTTTCAGGTCTACCCCCTGAGCTTGGCAAGGCGTATGATAGCTACTTGGTGCAATGCAAAGGGAAGTTAATGGCAGTGTATATGTCTTACATGGGGAAACGCATTTGTGTTCTTGAATTGGACGAGAGGGACAAAATGGAATGGGTTAAAGTGGAGTGTTTGGGGGATTACATGTTGTTTCTTAGCGAACATTCGTCATTTGCGGCCAAGAAAGTTATAGAGGGGATGGAGAATAAGATTTACTTCCCGAGATTCCACAAACAATACATTGTGTTCTATTGTCTTGAGACGCGTTTGTTCAAGACATTTGGTAGCAACTTTTCTCAAAAAGATCTTTTTGGGACGAAAGAACAATTGAATTGTTGTTGGATGCAGCCAAGTGCTAATCGCCCTTATTCTCCAGAACCTGTGCAACTTGATTGGTTAGAGTCTTCCAAGGACTGATACATATGCAGATGGGGATGCAAAATAGCCCATTACACTTTAGGTGGTTCACTGGTTCATGCTCCTTTAAGATGATGGTTGTAATTCATATTGTCTAAGTGCTGGATGTATATTAGTACGATTTGATATGTGTGTGTGTGTGTGCGCGCGCTACAAAAACTGAGGTTATGTTTTCTTGTTTTGCTGCGATGTATGTTACCAAAAGATTTCTATCCACAAGATATTCAACAATTTCAGCCAATTCACCATATGAAGATAAATCCTAGGTTGTCTCAGATGGCAAAAGCAGAGTTTGCACAAAATATAAATTACTTAAATATCCACCTGTTCTCTCTACATACAGTTTGCCATAAACTAAAATACCTTTAAAACTTATCAAGACCAAAGTTAGAATAAACTAAAAACCAATATGAATAACTTTTAGTTTGCCATAAAGTAAAATACCTTTAGCATCACACATGTATCTAACCTGGGTTTAACTCCTTTTTCAGCCATCCTCTCAAGCATCTCCGGTATCTCTCTTGCATTGGCTTTTCAAGACATCTGAAGAAAATACATTCTGTTCACAACCCTTCTCATACATTCGACCGAACACCTTGTGTGCGCCTCAACCCTCATATTTTCACACAAAAGCTTTATAATCCAAAACTCAGTTCAATCATCTCTTTGGGAAGCCTTACCTGCACATCAACTCCGTTTGAGATTAAAAACGGCTGTGTTATATGCCACCAAATCCAATTCAATCCCTTTCTTATTTTTTTCCTTGAAGAGCCTCACAGCTTTCCATGGCTTCCCTCCCTTGCATTGCACATCCATGTAAATGCAATAGGAAAAATGATCTTTTCCCACTCCCCATTTACCCATTTCTTACCAAAACTCCTTTCATTTCCCCCACTAATTCATTTTAAAGAACCCACGAAGGATCATGTTACAGGAAGCCCTTATTGTCTTCCCCATTCCCAAAACACATTTCTCGAGCTTCAATCACATGTTTATACTCACACAAAGATGCACCAACCAAATGGGAGAAGGAAATACTGCTTTGGAACCCCTGCTGAGATTTGACCCAATTAAAGAACTCCAAGCCTGAGTTCCACTCGTTTCTGTAGAAAGACAGAGTATCCGATGCTAGGTACAGTCCAAATTCATCGCGGATCCGGATGGATTCCACCGTGATTTGTGGGTTGAATCCAGGGATCCATTGTGATTTGTAGATTTCCGGTGGAAAAAATGGTTTCTGGTCGTCGAAATGTGATAGAGGAATAAATATTGGAGGCGAGGGATGAAAAAATGTTACCGGAATGCGAGAGAAGAAGTCATCGAAGCCGGAGACGACGACCGGAAAGTAATCCGCGCGGGGAGAAGATCTGGTAGAGACGGACCGGGCCGGGCTGGCTTTCTACGAATATGAATAACGATGGATATGGGCCGCTAACAATATTTGGGGTTCGGAATTGAGAAAAGATAAAAACTACTTAATAGAGGGATATAAACGAATCGTATAAAAGCGAATATTGAGATATTTGAATTTGTATTTGTTTAAGTTTTTCAAATCTGAATCTGAATCCGAATACGAGACGAATTAAAATAAAAATTTGAATTTGTATTTGATTAATATTCGAATACTTGACGAATCCTAAACGAATATTTTAATAATTATACTGTATAATCTATATGATGGACCAACATAAATTTTCAATAATTTAATTTACGATACTTCTTATACTATATCTAAAAACATTAATACATTTTCATCTTACACAAATTATATTTTATAAAATATAACTAAAAATCATATGTGATAAAATTTGGGATGGGTATGGACAACTGGATTGGTCTATAAGACACTTGGGCTGAACCGTATTCAAAGATTGAATCCAATCGATTAGTTAGTCCAACTCAAGAGTTTATATACCGGTTATTTTACTCTTGAACTTCCGATGTGAGATGCACTCTAACACTCCCCCTCAAGTGGACAACCGAGCCATTTTGAATCTAACCGGTTGACCACTTGCAAATGAACTCCCATTCTCTTGATTTTTTTGAATGCCAACACCTAAAGGACCACGAGCCGCTGGGTATGGACTTCCAGACGAGTAATCGTGTTAAATGGGCCACAGGCCGTTGGATACATACTCCATACGGACAACTGGGCTAAAGACAAACGGGCCGCTAGGAATGAACGTCTAGACGGACACCTTGACAAACGAGGTGGGCCAAAACTTGCTCTGATACCATGATAAAATTTGGGATGGGTATGGACAACTGGATTGGTCTATAAGACACTTGGGCTGAACCGTATTAAAAGATTTAATTCAATCGATTAGTTAGTCCAACTCAAGAACTTATATACCGGTTATTTTACTCTTGAACTTCCGATGTGGGATGCACTCTAACAATATGCTTTAGATTTTTGTGATACGTTAATTTGTTGAATTCTAGCTTAGTAATTTAAATACATTTTATACTATATTAGTTTACTATTGATGTTGAAACATGGTTTGTGGGTATATTCGAATATCTGAATATCACCCGAATCGAATATACTCCTATTTGTATTTGTATTTGTTTAATATTCGAATCAAAACTAATATTTGAATTTGAATTCGTATTTGAATAATACGAATTCGAATCATTATATTTGATGGCAATAAACCACCGAATATCTTGACTAAGCGAATTGTGTAAAGTTTAAAGAGAGAGAGAATGCAAAGTATGAGTATATTCACTCAAAAATCGGATCCTTTACAATGAGGGGACCTCGTCCTTTTTATAGAGTATATGATGCAATTAGTCAAACCCTATGACCGATATTCGTCGCTTAGCGGACGTCATCTGACCCTCTGGTCTAGTCCCTTTCAACCAGTCGCTATCGCCCGGTTCTTATCGCCAGTCGCTGTCATCTCGTTGTTGTCTCGTGGTCCGAGCCGAGGTGGTCATGTCATCAGGGATGAGCCGAGCTCGTATCGGGCGAGCAGTCTAAGGGGCGAGCCCGTACTTGCCGAGCTAAACCTGGGCCCCTCCAGCTAGACGCGGGGGCTAGCCGATGTCGAACCTAGGTTGACGTGGGGTTATCCTCCATCAGTATTCGAATACAAATCACGAACCGAATTAAAAATATTTGATTTGTTTACATCCCTAAATTGAATAGAACATAAGATAAGAAAAAGATACAAAAAAATAATTTTTTGTATGTATATTGAAAAGTACTACGAAATAGAAAATGAGAGTAGAAGAACCCAATTTTAATTAGAAAAATAAGAAAATAGTTTATAGTTTTTGAATGAAACAAAGAATATGAACAGTTCAAAAACTACTAATAGGACACCAACACTTAGAATAATAATCTTTCTGTCCCAAATCTATCTTCTTATTGTGGTTTACAATTAGAGCTGGCAAAACGAACTTAGTACCGACTATTCGAATCGAATCATCCAAAACCGAAACTAAAATTATCTGAAAAATGAAGATCAGATTTATAACCGAAATGATCCGAACCGAAACGGAACTAGATATATCCACACTTGATTTAAAACCAAAACCGATTAGATCTGAAACTGGTTAAATCTGAACCCGATAAGACCCGAAAGTGATTAGATCTAAAAATGATGAAACTCGAAGCCAATAAGATTCGAAACCAAATATATCAGAAATTGATTTTGTCAGACAATAAACATATTATATTTATAGACATTAGTGAACAATTGCTTTTGGTTTCAAATTTTTATTTTTATTATACTCTACCATTTAAACTAGTTATATACTTATATTACTTACTTCCTATGTCAAAAATAAATTATCATATCTAAATAAATTGTAAAATTTCATATGTTTTATTTTTTATAAATTGATATAAAAATAAACATTACAACTTACATTAAAATGTTAGTTAAAATTCAAACAAACTAAAGCACGGTTAAAAATATTTGTTTCACCCCCTCTCATGCAATATTACATTTATTTTTATTCAAGTTTATCTAATTGCATTCAATTTCACTCAATTTTAACATATTTTAACCAAATTGTATGAGATTTGGTAATCCAGTTATATTAATTTTTATATCAGAACAAAATATATTTTTCTTTCATAACTCACATCCAAATTTTTAAAGGTCACTAAAAAGATAAACCTAGAAATATGTAGAACCAAGGAAGTATAAAACAATATGATGTGATAAATTGATAATAGCTAGATTGACAAATGTGATATGATAATAAATGAACAGACAATTAAATTTTAATTCGAAAGTAACATACTAAAATCAAAATATATACCCAAATCGAATTATATGTGAATTGAAATATACCAAAACGGAATGTATTCGAAACTGAAATTGCTCCGGACCGATTGACATCCGTTCTAGATCTGAACAAACCTAGAATTGAAAAATATATGAAACCAAAATTAAACCAAACTGTTCCAAACTGAACCGATTATAACATATATTCGAAAGATATTCGATCCGAATTATTCCAAATCGGAACCAATCTGATTGATCTGATTGCCCACTCTATTTACAATGATTCATTTAAGTTATTTTCAAATTAATATATGTGATCATTTGGGTAAAATTTAGAAGATTTTTTAAGAAGCCTAAAAGAAAAATCATGCATACTCCCTTCGTCCAAAAATGTAAGTAATATTTTGAACAACGTGCAAAACATGTCTCTTTTAAAATTATTTTATTTACAAATTGGTAGAAAAGAAATAAAAAATGAAATTTACATTATTTAAAAGTTGATCAAAAATTCTACAAAATAAGATACGACAACTCCGACAAGAAAGGGGTTCATCCTTTAATTTTTTTAAATACCATATGCACTTATTATACTCCGTAATAGCTAGAAACAATTGGTATTTTTAAGGAATTGGTAGTTCGGTTGTCAATTTCTCGGCATTTTTCGTTGTTGTTCCTAGGGTCTGTTTGGCTTTGGCTCGACAAACTTTTCTTTAGGGGTGTCATTACTAGACCTGATCAAAGTGCGGGCCGGGCCGGGTTTTGGGCCGGCCGAGACACTAGTTTACGAAAATTTTATTGGCCCGAGCCCGGCCCGGCCCATATAACGGGCCTAACAATTGAAGCTCAAGCCCGGCCCGTATGGTTACCCGCGGGCTTCAGGCTGGCCCGGCCCGGCCGACAAAAACTTCTAAATAATTTAAAAATAATTTTTTTTAGAAAAGTAACAAGTTAATATATTAGATATTTGATATAAAAACTATTATGAGTAAATGAAAGAAAAATTGATATATAAATATATTTTAATTGATATTGCTACTGTGTATGGAGTACAAAACATTATCTATTGGAATGTCATAATCAATGTGTGATACGTTGCAAACAATACGGACCCGGGTGTTCTTTATTATTATTATTATTAATGTTGTTATTGTTATTTTATTATAATTATATTAAATATAAATATTTAATTTATTCGGGTCGGGCCGGCCCGTGGGCTTGAACATAAACCCGAGCCCGGTCCTAAAATATTCGGGCCGCTATTTATAAGGCCCAAGCCCGGCCCGTACCCTAAAATGTCAAACCCAACCCCACTATTTTGCGGGCGGGCCGGACACCCGGGTCCGTGATCGGGTCTAGTCATTACCCAGTCTGGACCTGAAATGATTCGAACTTCGATTAAAACTAGATTGGATCGGTCCCTTTTCGATCCGGTTTTCGGTCCTCAATTTTTGCTTATTTAGTCTTTGGTTCGGTCTGGTCCACTAGGTTTTGGTCCGTAACGGTGGACCGGTCAAAATTGTTTTTCTATATAATACTATAATATAGTTTCAAAGTTTTTTCTTATACTTAAAATTACTCAAACTTTATTACTAATTTTTTTTCAAATGTAATGTTTTTATTTTATAAACATTTAAAAAACTAGTCCAATTCAAAAAAAGAAATAAGATTTTTTAATATGAAAAGAGTGAAAAAAGTAAAAAAAAAAACTTTAATGTTAGAATCTAATGGACTTCAAATTTATGTACCAATACTATAACTTAAATTTGAACTTTATTAATAATGAAACTCTTATAAACAAAATAAACATTATAAAAATCTCTCAAACAAAAACAATTGAAACAAATGTCTATTTATCAAAATAAATGGAAAACACAAAAAAAAAACACTACAAAAAAGTAAAAACACATTAAGAAGAAGAAATACTCTCTATGTAAAAGAAAAATTACGAACAATTTTCCCGTAAAACGGAAAAAGGATGGAGTATATTCTATTTAAAATTTCTTAAAAATTTTAAATAATGGTGTTTGACAATGTTTAGTGTATGTTGCACATTAAAAAAATCTTATAGTAATAATTTTGTGTAATTAAATACTTTACATTAAATAAAATAAATAAATGTCTTTTAAAAATAAAAAATCATATTTATTTGGTCCGACCTCAGGCCAATCCTTATCTTATTTGGTCCGGTCCTTGGTCCCCGAAATGTCCCTTATTTGGTCCCGGTCCGGTCTGGATTTGACCCGATGAACACTCCTACTTTTA